TGTTTGCTTTATCCCTGCTTGATTAACTCGCCCAATCTGGATTTCGTCAACACCACCTGCGACGTCAACTGAGCCTGCATTGCGCCTGCCGACAACCCTGGGCTCCTGCGCTGAACCCAGTCATCCCAATCTACTATAGTGAAGCCCGTCACGACGCACGACCACATCATCGCCGCGATCCAAGAGAACGTCTAGGCTGCTCTCTCATCACCGATTCGGAACAAGTGCCGTTGTGCTTCTTCCCACCCACCTACCCCCGTCTGTCGTTTGCTGGCCAAGACAGAGTCCACTCTCTACATATCCCCATCCCCACCTGGTATACCCTCTCCCCTCGGACTCTCCCTCGCCACCTTCCTCTCCACCACGACAATGTCTCTCTCCCAAGTCATAAGTGGCCTCTCGAAGCGTGCAGGTCATGGTGAGGAAGACCCAACTGCTGGCCTGGAGAATGTCGACGTTCAGCACTACCTCGGATACATCTGGTGGATCATTGTTGTCGTCTTCTTCGTGTACCAGGTCATCCTCTACTTCGTCCGTTACATTCGCACCGTAACATGCCTGAACAACGAGACGCAAAGATACTTTGCTATTCCCAACCGGACCTACGCAGCTTTCAAGAAGCACTGCCTCGATGCGCCCCTGTTCCGCACCCGTCACCACCGCGAGTTCAAGCTCTCCTCCGCCATTGGTGTTGGAACCCTGCCTAGCCGTCTGCAGAGTTTCTTCCTCGTTGGCTACTTTGCGGTCAACATTGGCTTCTGTGTCTGGAAGATCGACTACAGCACCTTCTCCTCGGGTGCCGGCGAACTTCTCAGCCGCTCGGGTATCATGGCTGTCATCAACATGATTCCATTGTTCCTACTTGCTGGTCGCAACAACCCTATCATCAAGCTCACCGGTATCTCCTTCGACACCATGAACCTCATCCACCGCTGGTTTGGACGAATTGTTATCCTCGAGGCCATCGCCCACACTGTATGCTGGATCGCCAACAAGGTTCACACAAGTAAGTTTGGTCGTGTTCGGTGTCACAGGAACGAAGTGCTAACAAACTCACAGAGGGCTGGGGTGCTGTGCAAGCATCCATCACTGGAAGCGAGTTCATCATGACGGGTTTCATTGGAACCGTCGCATTCGTATTCCTACTGATTCAGTCTCCATCGCCAGTGCGTCACTCCTTCTATGAGGTTTTCTTGCACGGTCATATCGTTGGTGCTGCCATCGCACTTGGAGCTGTATGGGTGCACCTAAAGGAGCGACCACAACAATTCATGCTCTACGGCGTACTTGCTCTCTGGGTCATGGAGCGCACATGGCGTTTTGTCCGCCTCGTCATGCGCAACGTCGGAAATGGCGGTACCGGTTGCGATGTTGAAGTTCTTCCCGGAGACGCCCTCCGCGTGACAGTCCGCATGGCTCGCCCGTGGAGGTTCCGCCCTGGCCAGCACGCATATCTGTACATTCCTTCCGTTGGACTATGGACCAACCACCCGTTCTCTGTCGCTTGGAGCGAGGAGGAGGAAGACCTTACCATTGCTTCCTCCGTCGCCGATGAGAAGGGTCTTCCCATGAACCGCCAAGACATCCTTGAGCATCACAAGACCAGCATGTCTTTCATCATCCGACGACGAACCGGTTTCACCGACAAGCTATTCAAGAAGGCAGACCTATCCGCTGCCGGCAGATTTTCCACTTCGGCATATGTCGAGGGCCCATACGGTAAGTACCGAAGCTTGTTTTCCCCAGATTCTGCAATATCGCGGATATTAATTCAATTTAAACCCATGCTAACGTCACACTACAGGCGGTGAGGATCTCAGCTCTTATGGTACTGTCATGCTATGGGCTGCTGGTATCGGTATCACTCACCAGGTTCCTCACGTCCGTGATATTGTTGCTGGCTACGCAAATGGAACTGTCGCCACTCGTCGTCTCACCCTTGTTTGGATCATCCAATCGCCTGAACATCTTGAATGGATCCGTACATGGATGACACAGATCTTGTCCATGCCACGCCGTCGTGAGATTCTCAAAATCCTGCTGTTCGTTACTCGTCCTCGCAGCACCAAGGAGATTCACTCGCCATCCTCCAGCGTTCAAATGTTCCCTGGTCGCCCCAATGTCCAAGCCCTGGTCGACCAGGAGATGCAAGAAGGTATTGGTGCTGCTTGTGTCAGCACTTGCGGTACCGGTGGGTTGGCGGATGAGCTTCGCCGCTCTGTCCGCAACCGCGAGTCTCAGTGGAACGTCGACTTCCGCGAGGAGTCTTTCTCGTGGTAAACGTATCCCTGCTCTGTTTCATCTTTGGTCTCGTCATATCGGTATACCCTCTCGTCCATTGATCTCTAGCCTTGCAATCTATCATGTTTGGAAGGGACCACCGTTGGATCTAATGAGGACATGCTTGCATCTACTTCGCTGTACACATTACATTTCGTTTCTCTACCGCGTCATCTCTTGATCTGGTCTCTTTTTACACTCCTTGTATCTTATCCTGTGGAACAGGCACGAAGACAAAACATTCATGTGGTCGAGCGTGCCTAGCCAAGAATGGCTTATGGCTAACTATCAATGTTATTACGTTACCACAACGGTCCTTTCACGAGCATGGCGATGCTTCTCTGGCGTTCAAGAGTCCTACTTCGTTCGAGTGTGTACATATCGGCGTCTGCTACTACAGAATTCACGATTGATTCAAATAGTACTTAATCCTCCATCAATATTCCTAGCATGCGTCCTATTAAGCTGCGACCGGTATGCTACTTCTTCGAACCAAACTAGCGGTATGGCTAGCGCGATGTCGTCTTATGCACGCTGCCGCGATTGAGGAAGCTGCTCCAGAAAGCACACGTATATGAACGGCAACCAGACGGCAAGAATAATGATGCCCTCAACAGATTGGGCGATATCTGCCCGTGGAAACCTGATAACCCCAGAGCTGACTGACACTACTGTAAGAGTTTAGGACGCGCGGCCGCCGAACCGGCGAATTTAGACATTACAGACACTTGTTTCAAAGTCTCTGATAACGCCATCACTACACATTCCTATTCGACGTTGCCATTCGATGCGACAATCGATTTTAGGCATCTGGCGGTTATGTACCGTCTTTTCTACATTGCTAGTGCGCGCTTCTAGGTGCTACCACGTTGAGACGCACAATGGTGCGGTTGTTTCAAAGCGCCCCATTGTTGCTCAACAACTGGTTGTAGTTTGCCAACATTCGTGAGTCATAGCGTACTCCTATGATGTATGACAGACATCCAATACTCGCTGCTATTTGAGGTTCGGACGATATGAGGAGATCCGAAGGCGCGTGAACACTAGGTGGCGGCTGAACTTGGTGCATGACTTGAACGCAAGGCTTACGGCTGAACGTAAGGGTATGACGATTGTCCTTGAAGTCTGTATAGGGCTCTGGTAGCACATTGCTTGTATGTTCACAACGTGATAATGCGGTATGTATGGTTCCCAACCGGTAAACCTATTGGCAAAGGCAACTCCACCAACCCGATCCTATTCAAACGCTTCACCGGGGAGATATTGCCTTTGATTCTTCAAAGCGATAGTCAACTCATTGTGCAGGTCGCGAGGGCAAAAGCTCTCAAGTTCGAGCCGGCGTAGCTGCACCAGCCTCCGCCTGATGAACCCAAGCCTAACCCTCAGTTCGACTTCTTCCGCGAGAACCGACTACGTCTCCAGACAAGCATATACCGCGAATCCTGATTATAGATTCGGAGTAGTGTTTTGCTTCATCGCATCTTACCGCAACCACGCACGTACAACGCCGTCATCTCGTATTCGCCGGACAGACATTGTGCAACGTTTCTTGAGAGATTCTACATCTGAACAGCTTAACCTCCTACCTGAAGGTGGACGTTGCATCGACTCGTATATTCAAGAGGTGGTGTAACTCGATCGGATAGCCAAACTCATCCGTCACGCAGGTCGTATTATAACGGACCCGCTATCACAAGACCAAAGCATAACGCGGTCCATGAACACCCGTGTCTAGATCTCAATCGACTCTCCAGGTCAAAAATCTAGAACCGTTCTTGAATACGATCATCTGCGATATCCACGTACCCCATCCGTGCACATCCCGCGCTCACACATTAGTGAATAAGAGTGTTATTCGACAGCAACCCGGCTGCCACGCCTTGGATAATCAATCATGTCTTTACCAAACGCCCATGTCATACCAATACCCGGGTAACATTCTTACGACATCGGGCTAATATTGACGCATGAATTATGAAAATGAAGAATCGAGCTCGAAGGTAGCTGTTCTTTCGCTTGAACCCAATTACCCGCAAGACCGGCTTAGCGAATGCCTATAGCTTTGCACACTTGCATCACACGAACATTCACTACTGCCTTCCGACATCGCGTGTGGAAAGCCTCCACCCATGTGCGATGTACGACAAATTAAAAAAAGCCGTTTTCTTCATCATGCATGCACTGCGGCAAGTCAGTTCTTCTTTACGAGTGCACAGTTGGGGAATGCAATATATAATAGCCGGTACAAGCAGGTTTGGATACCTGCCTCAGGCACGCGCAGTTGCTGCCTTGCTACCACGTTTTCGTAAACAGCCTGTCGCGTGTCCTTGGTGGGGCTGCTTCATTTATTCCTGATAAGAGTGCAGAAGTATGTGGGGTTAGTTATATTACTGTGCTTAGACGAACAATATTAGGCCGGGTAGGAGAATATATAGGTTGGTAGCGAAGACACGTGGTACTAGTGCAACTGATGAGTGACCTCACAGTCAAGGGTCATTCCTGTTTGCTTGGTTCATGATGTTGAACATCTTACCTGACATGGGCCACCAAGTCAGCAGGCTTTGAATGAGTGGACGTCCCTCTTGTTGTACTCTTCTCAAGCGTGAAGAACCTACGTGACTATACTTATGGTTCTATTAATATAAGAGAGTAGTGAATATAGCTAAGTCTCTTAAAGGCGATCTACGCTTAGTGCCTGGCATCTCCCTAGCCATGTGCCATCAAACTGCTTCAGGACTCTCGTGCGTAGCAGCGTCTTCCATTTCGAGCCTCCGTTGAATTCCCTCCCACCCTTTCTTAACCACATCCGCCATGATTTTTCCCATACTGCCTTCCCGTCCTAACATTTCCACCGCTTTCTCCACACTCACCAACTCACTTTTATACGTTACTTCCAGCTCATCTACTCCTGTATTCTCGTGGTGTCTTGGCTCGTACCCTTCAGGTTCTTCCTTGATTCTCTCTCGTAAAGAAAGGTTCTGAGGATATGGCGGTGGTGGTTTGTACGCCGCGCCTGCTTCCGTCTCAAGCAGGGTTTCGAGAATTGGAGGAAGTGTCTCAGCAATGTACCAGTAGATTATATACTGCCGAGAACCGAGAGGAAGGAGCTGCATGTATACTGGCTCGGCAGTCTGTGGAGAAGCATGGATACGCGGGTGGGCTTGCGGTTGGCGGTGAGCAGTAGGTAGAGGGAGAAGGCGGTTGCGATAGCCAGACTGTTCACAGCGTTAGTATGTTTGGTCTCCAGACGAGAAAGCGGATATGACGTACCTCTTCGTACCCTTCTCTTTCGGCACCTGTGCCGCTCTCTTCGCCAGCGTCGCGCCGTCCCTTAGGGAGGAAGTAGAACTTTTGTCCGCGATACACGCAGCTGCATATCACGACTCGATTCGTGGCAAGATGGAATATTGCGACACCACCGCCAACTACGAATTGGTTGCTATCGAAGTGTGCGGTGTAGATTTCATTACTGCTTGTCGGCATCGTTGGATTTATTGGTGGTGTTGGTGAAGGTGTAGAAATGTCTGTTTTCTATGGTAAAAGGCCGCACATGAGGCTTGTGAAGCTCCTACTCAATGGGCGGGCCTCAGGTCACAGCGCTGATGTTTTGCATTAACGGGCGGTCCCTTCGCTCAGTGGCGGCCATCACTGAGGCAGCGAACACTGATGCCTAGGATAGGTGGGTCGAATTGAGGAGGAGGTATGGTGGGGCTGGTGACGTCCAGATGGACCGCAGGAACAACCCCGCAGTGCTAGCGTGCCGCTCACTCTTCCGCTTGATAATGAAGTAGAATATAAATGCTACTGATGAACCGTCTGTCAACAAAAGTACAACTGGCCTAATGGCCCAATGGCAAGGCGCTTGACTACGATTCGTTCGATATCAAGAGATTCCAGGTTGTAAGTAAATATCTAAATCGCAGCTCGTTCGAACACAGACACTAACAATCACACAGCGACCCCTGGTTAGGTCACAACAGTTCTCTTTTGTCCTTCCATGAGCATGGGCGCTGCTTTCCTTTTTGGCCTCGTTGGCTCCTGTATTGGCTGCGTGAGGACGTTACTGGCGCCAAGTCTTTTTTTTTGTCATTATTTTTCTGCGTCTTGCTAGCCTCAATGCGACAAACGTTTCAACGAGGAAGAAAAGCTAGGCGAGAGGATAGCGCGTCACACCCCTCGAGGTTTGCTCAAGGCGACTCGTCGTGCCTCCCCATCGTTCCAAGTGCAGCCCATAGGTGGTGGAAAGCCGAAGGGCACAGGTCCCTGGACCCTGACTACGACTCAGCGTATACGATGATAGCAGTGCCGCTAATAATCTCATGCATCATCCGCAATTCTATCACTATACCCAAGGTTGAGGGGAACATGCATATCTATCATGTCGTGCTTCTTGGCGGCGAGACCTGATCAGGAAGCTGGTGATGTCCAAAGGTACCTCAAAGTCTGGGCATCTTCTTGGCCGGCCGTTGAACGACACTCCACATACTTGTTATGTACCAAGCGGCAAAACCGTCGCAATATCTCCATGGGAGGCAGCGAGATGAAGTCAAATCGTTGCATCATCATTCACTTGGCTTCGGATGCATGATAAGGTTATGGCGTGGTTTGGGTATGAGTCCGCGGGTATATAATGTCTCTAGAGAGATCATATAGAGCATCCGGTACACCAGACACCGAATAGTCAATCGTTATTCATCATGAAGTGGACCAGACTATTGTTAGGCGCTCAGTTGGCAGCAGCATCTCCCTTCCAGTCTCGGGACAGCTCTGCAACTCGTAGCGCCGAAGTCACGTATGATGGTTACCACGTTTATTCGGTTACTCCATCTTCGGTCGAAGAGGCTCGTGATATTGGCATGCGGTTTTCCAAGTATCACACTCATCCCATTCGCGATACCCTCTCCATCGCCGTCCCGCCTGGAGAGGTAGACTCCTTCAACGCCCTGGGCCTGAAAGCGCGTCTCGTCAACTCCGATCTAGGCAATTATATACGCGCTACGGAAAAGAAAGCAGTGTACAAGCGGGACTTGCACAGGCGTGGCGAACTGCCAGATCTCTCCTGGTTCGACACCTATCATCCATATGCCGACCATCTTCAATACTGGGATGACCTTGTTGAGGCATTTCCCAAAAACTCGAAGAAGTTCCCGATCGGAAAGAGCTACGAGAACCGAACAATATATGCTTTCAATTTCTATGGAGACGAAAAGGACATTCATAGAAAGCACAAAGCAGAGAAGCCAGTCATTCTCTGGCATGCTACAGTACATGCAAGGGAATGGATATCAACTATGGGTAAGAATGTACATGGCAATTACCACGGAATAACAGCTAACTATTACAGTAATTGAGTACTTGGCATATCAACTAATTGACGGCTACAAGAAAGGCGATGCCAATGTGACCACCTTCTTAGACTATTACGATTTCTACGTCGTGCCTTTCCACAATCCCGATGGCTTTCTCTACACACAAACGAATGACCGACTCTGGCGAAAGAACCGTCAGCCACGTCCGAATCTCAATACCACCTGCCTTGGGACTGACGGCAACCGCAACTGGAAGTATGAGTGGGATGCGGAGCCGCCAGAAGGTGGATCTACACCTGATCCTTGTGGCCAGACGTACCGCGGAGAATCACCGGGCGACACACCCGAGAACGAAGCAATGGATGGTCTTTCAGCTAAGCTGTCGGGAACAGGTGCCGGAATTCGTTCTTTCATCGACTTCCACTCGTACGGTCAGCTCATTCTGACTCCCTATGGCTTCTCGTGCGATCCGTTACCAGAAACCCTTCCTCGCATGCTCGAGGTTGCTGGCGGCACAGCAAATGCGATCATGGCTGCTAGCACAAAGAACAGTACTTATGAGTTCGGTCCTGGTTGCCAGATCCTTTACTTCTCGACGGGTAACTCGAGAGATCACCACTATGCTGTCCACGGCGCGAACCACTCGTGGACGATGGAGCTAAGCCCTCAAGATCAGGCTGGTGGTGGGTTCGTGCTACCACCTGATCAGATCTGGCCAGTTGTGAAGGAGCAATGGGAAGGTCAGAAGTGGCTATTGAACGATGTATGGGAGGACTAGCCGTAATGATCAGAAAACATCTTTGGGGATACACCACTATGATGTTGACAGGAGGGCAAGAACCAGCCTGAGCAGGACGTCGTAATGTCTTTGCGATCGCGATCCCACACAGCAGTTTTGGTCATACGAAGTACAATGCAAAGCCGTACTGAAAATGTTGTATTTTAGTTTGACTAAAAACACGCGTCACGCTACTACATCAACGAAAAGAAGTGTTTGAATTGAAACGATGACCTTTTCTCTTAATTTTGGTGTAGAATCGCGGGTCTTTTTGGCACCGAGCACTGCTACGCTTTCAGGTTCACATATCAGTATCTTCTACGAGAACCTGGTATTTCCTCTTATGGTACGTACCCCTATGGCGAATCCGTCGTCCTTCACATCTGAGACTCTTGAAGCTGTTTTTGTCCTTGGCATTGTAATTTGGATGGCTGTTAATGTCACATATATCTCTAGTTACTGATACCAGAGCCCAAACGTGTCCAAATTCGAGAAGTCTTCGCTAGTGGTATCCTCCGCCAGATTATCAAAGCTAAATCCGGGGTCACCCTCACCGGGAAATGCTGAGTCGCGACGTCTAGCAGAAACAACGTCTTGCCCGTACGCGCTAGTAAAGTCCGAAATGTTGGAGTCGAAGTAATCATGACCTACTCCCAGCATGAAGTTGTCAAAGATCAGCTCTGGTAACAAACACAAATTTCGACCGGTCGTGTCCATGGATATCGGCGTGGCAGCGAGATTGTCGGTGTTCTGGCCATGTGACTCACAGTGATGCTGTTGGTGCACTGGTCGACCAGTAAGTGTCCGAGCTATCTTTGAGAGCATGTTAGGTCTCCCTTCACTCGAGGTCGGTCTCTTCTTTCTTGCTTCAACTCCAGAATCCTCTCGTGTGTATCCCTTCCAGTTCGTCATTGTCAGACCGTCCTTGAAATGGCCTGCAATATGTGTCTCTCGATCTTCCCACGTCTTCAGCACCTTTTCGCAGAAACCGCAAACCCAATTCTCCACAGCGGTGTTGCCTGGTCCTTCTCGTCTCCAAAGATCGCGGATGGTCTCATCCAGTTTCGCCTTGTGGAAGTTCCTGACGTGCTGACGTAGGTGATCCGGTCGCAAGAATGTTCTTTCGTCTTCGCCCTTGGTTATACATTCGGCTATGCGGTGGCATTGTGCAAAGTGCAGATCGCTAGGGCTTGATATCATACAGAAGACACAGAGTGTGACATTATCAGACCGCGAGGGAAGTGTAATCCTTGGCCCAGAAAGCAAGCATGTCCACTTCCGTTTGGGACGATGTTGTGTTTCCTCATGGCGCCGCCAGGACTTACGTGCGATATGCTGGTAACAAAAAGTGCATTGCCAGGTCTGCTTTTCGCCATCATCATTGTTTTTGGATGCCAACAGTGATGCAGATTGGGCAACTGATCCCTGGTGCGCTGCAAGCCGAATGCTGCTAGACTGGCCATAGTCCTTTTTCTTGCCTCGTCTAGACGTGACTATACCGGTCTGGTTGGAACCTTCGGCTGGACAATAGGCTACAATAGGACCGTGATGATCAAACAATGCTTCATTTGACATCGTCGTCGATGTTACGCTCGAAAGTCTGGTTTCCCGCGAATCCTCGTCTTCCGAGGCCGGATTTGACAAACTCGTATCGATTACCCTTCTTCGCGCCCTCGCGTTAGTAAACCAAGTGTTGACCTGTTTCTCAGTGATTCCGCATTTTGTGGCTAACAAACGCTTGGTATCGTTGTCCGGGTACGGGTTGTTTCGGTTCTCCTTCAGCCACCGATGCAGACATCGCGTAGCATGCGACTCGAGTTTGGTAGGTGGTCGTCGGGCGCACGAACGCCTGACTTCCGATGGCTTGCTCACTCGAGGTTGGAATGATACTTCTGTATCCGGTGTGCATGAAGTACAATTGGTAGATTGGCCCGGGTGGATAAGTGCAGATATCTCACACGCGGAGCATCGCGCGGTGCCCTTAGACCGTGGGAGAGATTGCGAAGGAGGTTCCTCGACTGTGTCTAGTCGAATTGCTACAGGAATAGTTTCCGACTGTCCAGGAACCCGAACAATAGTCGCAGATGATGCAGAAGCTTCACTGACGCAGTCTTCGCATCTAAGGTCCTCCCCAGGATTTGTTATGTTCCAGAGCTGACATCGGAGGCAATCATGGTCGCTGTTTGGTGTCGCGAACAACGATGCATTGCTCGAGCAAACCTTGGATGTAAACACATCGAGTCTGGTGTCCTGGGGCTCAGTCGAATCGGTAATTGCTCTTGCGCGAGTCCTGTCTTCTGCAAGGCTGAAAGAGTCGCGCAAATCTAGATTTACAGGTTCTTTCTCGATCAGAGAGACCGTTTTATGGATTGAAGAGCTTCCTGTTTGGTTGACCTGAACAAAATTAGCGGCCGCGTGTTACATGGGACTATGAATGAGGTAGTACAGGGACTCCTTCGGCATCTTCCAAAGTGGCAGAGCCGTAGCCCGAGTCAACAGACCATATACTGGCAGCTTTACTTTTTGGTGTCGGAGAGAACATCATGACGAGGCGTCAACGGTATTGTCTAAATGTATAAATCGGTGTTCAGACGCTCTGTTTGTAATGCGATATTTTTGACAGTACATAGACAAAGGACCGCGAGTACAAATAACGAGGCACGTCTCACGACGACGCGCGAAGACACCCGTTCAATCTATTCTGAGATACAGGGTGTTTGTGGCTATCCTGGACGCCTAACATGCGGCACAACGGTGGCGCTGCTTCGCCATTGGTTTGACGGCCGTCTTCTGCGCTGCATGGAGGTCATGCTAGGGACCTCAGCCACACCTGAGGCTGAGGTGCATGGACTATCGCGTTTGGCGAGATTGGGGGCCAGAGCGTGATATTACCACGTCAAATTCAGTGTGTGGCGCTGGCACTGAATGGCGGTGCACGTTGGAAAGTATACTGACAGGCGGTGTGAGTCGCTCGTAATTAATGCGAAGAACTTTGGGACTGCTGTTTAACCAGCAAGACGCAAGCACGAGTAAGACTCGTTCGTGTTGACAATTACTAATACCGTACGTCATTCCGAGGGACTGACCAACCTCCCCGAAGTATGCGCTAGCACGCCTGTTATGCTCATCGCTATAGCATAAATTGCTTAGGTTCGAGCTTGCGCCCATGAACAATGGTATACAGGGTATCAGTAAGAAACAAAAATATTGGGTATTCATTTTTTCCATCTCGCCCTACCAAACAATGCCGTAATGCATATAACGCAGTTTTGCGAACAATGTGTGTAAATCGGAAAAAAAAGGAGAAGCGCTTTAAAAAAAAGCACGCCAATCCCTATTCCGACCAGCACCACCCCGTCCCATTCCATTCGTATGCAAGTGATCGTAAAGTCGTTCTAGATGTTCGTCCCTCATCGCCTCCAGCCTTAGGCAGTTTCCCCAGCAACCCCACTACCAGCACCCGCACCAGCACCCTTACACCAAGGATGTTCAAGTACCATACTGATCGTAATCCTCTTTTCCACGTCTCGATCTAGCATCAGCCGCACAAGATCGATGCTCTCTTCCGACATGACCCATGGTACGCGTAGATCGTGATCCATGATTTCGTCGATAGAGTAGAACGGGTTTTCTTTGTAGATGATTGTGTAGAGGAGTATGCCGAGCGCCCAGACGTCTTGTTCTTTACCGCGATAAGCTTTTCCAGCTAGGACTTCGGGGGCGGCGTAGTCTGGAGGTTGTTAGTACAATTATCGCAAACGGAGAAGCGGAAGAGAAACGTACCAATAGTGCCGACAAAGACGTCAAACGGCCCACTCTTGATATATGCTGCGCTTCCGAAGTCAATGAGCTTGATGTTGCCTTCACCATCGAGGACGACGTTCTCGTCTTTGATGTCCCGGTGTACGACCTTCGCTTTAGTATGCAGATGGTGCACCGCTTCTGCCACTTGGACAAAGATCTTACGGCACTCCTTCTCTTCCATGTTGACCCGCAGCTCAATATAGTCGAATAGATCCATACCTGGCAGACCGTGTGGTACCATCTCAATGTAATAGTTGATGTCGTCTTCGAAGAAATCGGCCATCTCTACGATATTGGGATGCTTGAAGCCGTCACGACGGAGGTAGTCTAGCACATGAATCTCGAGCGGCACAGTGCCTAGTCTTCGGTCTCGAGTCCATGTGTCGACTAAAATCCGCCGCTTCGTGACATACTTGATCACGACTTTCTTGCTACTGACCTTTTTGTACCGACAGAGCTTGACTTGCCCATACGCGCCTTGGCCCATGTCTTCTAACACTACAAAGTCGTTGATAGTCTTCTTCTTGGGTGGCTCTTCCTGCACAGGGACCGGTGGCGGTGCCATAGCTTTTGTTTGGGTTTGTTGCGGAGTGTTAGGTCGCATGGCTTCCTGTATTTGCTGAGTGAGGAGTGATACTGCAGGTGGCGTTCCTTGCGACTGGTGCGATTCAGGTTCTTGCGGTACCGAGAAGTTTGACTGCCCTGGTTCAGGTTGGCGCGGTGAAGGTGGTCGTGACATAAGAGGAGTCACAGGACCAATACCATGGTTTGCAGCATGCAGCTGCCTGGAGTATGTTATCCACAGAGCGTAGACCAGCTCTGGACCCTTGGTAGGTTTGGACGATCCATCTTCCTCTTCAATGACATTTTCATCGAATCGAGGAGACTTTTCGCTCTTCACTACTCGCATCTGCACATCGACCATGATTTCCGAACCGTCACGATGTAGAGCTGGCAATCCGCTTGGTCGCAGGAAGATGGCTGCCGCATCTGCACTACCCTCCCGCATTGCAAGCAGGGCACGGGCACGGCGGAAGCTGTGTTCGGGGATGACTATTCCGTCGACCAGCTCGATCTTATCTTCATCGGTCATGACATGCAGTATCTTGTCGAATGCGGGTATGAGCTTGCTCACGTGAATACCTTCGGGTCGTGGTTGTCCGAACAGAGCTGATGAAAAGACGGAATTGGAGCTTGTGATTTTGAGATCGTCGGAAGATAAAACGATGATGCCCGCGATGTGTGGGAAACTAGAGACGCGGAAAGTGGGTTCGCCTGGCATCGCCTCCACGGTTACTGGTATATTGATGCTGTTTGAAGTCCGCGCGGTGTAGCTGCGAAACTCGTCGATCGACTCGTAGTCTAGCGCCCCAGTGTTTGTTCCTCGGAGTCGTGGTATGCCTGGTATGAGTCGCTTGAGATCCATTCCCCTCCGTAACCGATCGCTCCCAAAGACAGCTTCTGTTGCGCCCCAGCCCTTGGATACGCAGCCTACGTCGTCGACCGTGATATATACGACATCTTCCGCAATCTCTTCAAGCACCCAGATGAGACTACCCCGCTTCTCTTTGACCCACAAGCTGGCAGAACCAGTTGAGCCATTACGCTTCTGGATCGGAATGACATCTCCACAAAGTAAAACACCTCTTGAGCCCTTATGTTCATGATTCAGCTTGCCTGTCTTCTTCGCATTGTAGTACGAGGATCCACTGCCATCGTCTGTCTGTGCTTTCCTCGCGGCTATCACGCGCGATGGAGCCTTGCTCAGTAACCGTGCAGTAACACCGCTGCCGACTTTCAGGTTGTTAGTTGCAGGAGATGCTCCGGACAGTGCATTCTTAGAGCCAACCTCGGGATCTCTGAGCTTGCTTTCGAGCCACTTTCTACGGTCTTCTCGCACGACTTCCAGTATCCCCAGCTTGCGGACCTCAGCCCTCGTCACACCGAATACAAGGCATGCCAAGTCGTTTGCAGATGTAATGGTCCATGGCGTATCTGTTTCGGTGGTGAAGATGGCTTGTGCTGCTGGAGCGTGTCGGCTTCCATGTCCATGTGGTGCTGATCCCGCGGAATGAGGCCCTGGTGCATTGCTAAAACTCGGCGGCAGAGTTGGGATAATGGTAGGGGATACGAGGTCGCTGATCTTCTCTTGGTCTCCCACCCGGTATGGCTGCGCTAGTGCATCGTGGAGTTGGCTCTGGATCGTAAGAGGCGCAACATCGGTCAGAGTTCGTTTGAGCGCAGCTCTTTGGGGGCGTGCAGGTTGCGAAGGTGGTGGAGGCGGAGAAGCTGCCGCTGCTCGTGTGCTCAACGCGTTGGGGGCGATTTCGGTACCCGGTGAGACTCCTTCTTGGCGAGCTTCTGGTGTACTGCTGGTGCCGATGACATCGGTCGTAGTCACTCTGTGTACTGGTGGTCTCGCAGCCTCAAGCATGCTCTCGGGGCTCGCTGATCGATCAACTGTGAAACCCTTCTCGAATGGGTTCTCGCCAGACATGTCCGCCGGCCCTGTTACGGGACCCAGCGCACCCAGTCCATGGGCTCCCGTGCCGTCTTGGCCTATGAGGTTTGCTCTTGTAAGCAGCTCCATCATACTCTGCACCTCCTGATCGCCGCTGAGTTTTGCCTGGGCGTTTGCTATTCCAGGATTTGTCGCGGCCCAGCCCAGCCTGTCGCGCATAAACTCGATGGACCGCTTCAGCACATTTTGGCGGTTGTGTATAAACTCTTCTGATTGCGTCGCAAAAGAAAACGAGTGTAGAGACTCGGAGGGAAAGCGAGTGAGATCCTCACCAAAAGCAAAGGTCGGTGATGCGGGGGCGGTGGGCGCAGACTCGGAAGGATGTCTCGATACTGGTGGCGTGGAAATGTTCAGCGAAGCAGCTCGTTGGGTCGACTGCAGCTGTCTCGGGCCTGGCTGTTGGCGGATGCGACGGAGGCCTGAGGATCCCAGACCGTGTTCATGCTCGGACACGATGGGCGACCTGGTGCAATGTGTGTCAGCCATGACCCACAACGCAAAGAGTGCTCCTTCCTGACCAGCGTCCTTGCACGGCCGCCTATCTCGACGTTCCACTCACCTTGCCATGCGGTCCAGCTGCCCTGCATCGATGCTCAGGCGCTTGGCCGTGTCGATGGGTGGCGGCGGCCCCGTTCGCCAGTTCAGCAGGCTCGAGGTGCTTTTCGTCTTGACCAGCGGGGCATATTCGGAGAGGTGCTGTGACTGTGCGAAGGAGTTGAAGGGTGCTTCTTCTGGTAGAGAGCCTGGCGGGGTGAGGACGTCAGCTAACAAGTCCATATGGAGCACGAGTATGCAATGGCTAGTGGCGAGCGAGGTAGTGGCAGCGGTACAGAGCAAGTTGTAAGTATTGGGGTCGGGTGTCTATTGTGTACCGTAGTCCAGGTGAGTGCAGTGGCTCGGTCCAGCTCCTCTCTCAGAGCATACATGTCTCGCAGTGTTGTGGGCGGTCAAGCTTACAAAGCTCACCATGGGCTCTTGGTGACACAAGTCGTCGAGGCAGTCGTGGGCGTCACGACGTGAGGCGGAGGGTCATTTGACGTACCATGATCATTTGGCCTGCTCATTCCCTGAGGCGTACGAGCGCCTGTTCCCAGGCTTGGGCAATTGTCTCGGCTCGGTAAGATCAGAAGCAGCGAACAACGACGAGATGACTAGCCCTTGGTCTACAGGTACACAGCTTGATGTGTACTGACCCGTGTGTCGCGTTTGGGGTGGCTGTATCGCTTCTGGGGTACGGCTGGATGATGCGCGGGCGGGTGGTGCAAAGGCTTTGGTGGGGGCTGCAGGGTTGCTGAGGGCTGGAGTCGGATATCACCTGCAACGGGTACGGCTGTTCAGTAAGAGATGCGATGCGATGCGTGGGGCAGACCAGACGCAAGAGATGGGCAGTAGGCGTGCACAGTGAATGGCATGTAGTTACGTCGCGGACACTATGCGACTTGAGACGCCAACGGCGTTATTTGCATTGCGCCCACGCTGGCCCCGCGACAAGCACAGACGATCCACCCGCCGTCGACGCTATCAGATCAGATCTACCAGACCGCCTGGGCCGGGACACCACCAGAGTCCTACATCATAACACGCTAGACGGCGAGGTTGCACAATAAAGTAAAGATGCGTACCATGCCTGGGACATACGCTGCTTCTGGCTGAGCATCCACTTGTGTCGCACCAGCGTCCGCACCCGGCCTTGGCTTCGTCCGTCCGGCAAGCCTCCGCTAGCCTTTGCTCTGACATGTGCTGCTCTGCCGCGCCATCCATCATCTGGCGAGCAGGGTGAACGTCCCGCCAATCTAACCGATGTCCATGTCGTCATACTATGTCCATAGGCATCTGGTATACCGCTGTTTCTCCAGCACCACCATGTACTGTGAGTATGGAAGTAACAGATGTCAGACGCTCAATGGAGGCATTTGAATTCTCTGCTCGTCATGCAGAAAATCGTGCATGCTGCGACCACCGTGATTAGCTCCGCATACCCCGGAAAATGCCATTGGTTGAACATGGCTCCTGCGCATGCCGTGTGCCGACCCATGCACCAAATCTGGACATCTGGGGAGGCTTCGAGCCATCAGTGTTGTCGAAGAGTGTCTTTGTGCTGGTTCCAGAAATTCCTGCAGCCTAATTCTACAGTCAGCAATTGCCTTCATCATAGCGTCCTGATAAGCATACCTCGATGCATGTTGACCTGGTCTATCCACCACTCGCCAAAGCTGTCGTCTGTCGCCATATCGGCTGCCGTCACTCTTTCCTCCCGTTTGAGCCCGCATAGCATACAAGCTTGGCGCGCTGGTATGCCGCCTTCAGACTGCTTCAATGTCTTTACCGGCATTGTCTCTTGCAAGTCTGGCCCACGATCCAAAGAACCAGCTTTGATCTGATTTGCTCCGGATACGACGTGTCGCAGTCGCCCAACCTGCTCTTTCCAACTTCTCACCACATCTGAGACCTCTCGCTCTTCCTTCATGTTCTCGCCCTTGTCGATACCTGTCAACTTCATCCCGGAAGTTGCTCGTGACGACGCAGGGCCTATTCGCATGCCTTGGGACAGGTGTTGGTCTCGCTTCCAGCGCAATTTACGGCCAGCTATGATGTGTGCCGCAACATTCCCAAGGATTATGTAGCCTTGAAGGTATGCGATTGTTGTGGGCTCGGCCAGTAACTTATTTCTCATGGGTAGGGGTTGCGCTGCCATGGGCTTGAACAACTTCTCATTTGCTTCCGCAAATAGAGAAGGGAAAAGTGATAACAACATACCGGGCGGCGGCACGTTAGTAGGTGGTAGTTCACTGGGCTGTGGATCTGGTATTGTAGAGGAAAGTATTGGAGCTGGCGTAGTGGGTAATGCAGCACTCGTGGTCGACTGCATGGTTCCGGATTTGCTCGGTGCTTTCGTAGGAATAGAAGCCTCCCAATCATCGAATTCATCCCATCCGTCATCTTCTTTCTGTGCCGGTGGTGCGGGTGTTGGGACCGGTCGTTCTCGTCTAGTAGAAGCACCGAATCCGATCTTAGATTTCTTACTCGTGGCCATTTGGCCCTCGAAAATCTGACTTGCGTTGACAGAATTTACACCCCTCGAGACAGGTGGTCGAGACTGTGATATGCTCATATCCCCTAATAGGTCCACGAGTGCTGGGGATGATGCAACAGGTGCTGTAGAAGGCGCTTTATTTTCCTGTTCGCCCTCAAAATCGCCAAAGTCGTCATCATCATCGAAATCATCCTCTGCATCGAACAGTACGCTTGGGTCCACAGACTTCTTGGCCTTCACAATAGGTGCTCGCTGCCAAGTTTGCTGTGTCGGCTCGCAGGACGATTGCGATTCGGATACAAAGGCGTCATTTGTAACTGAGCCCACGTTCCAGGCATTCGATGGTGGTTGGGGGACCGGAGGCGATGTGAATGCGAACAGATCTTGCTTGGCGGCAGGAGCGGGTTCCGTAGATGTGCCGCCCTCGAAATCACCCCAGTCGTCGTTGTCTTCAGCTGTAGATTCTTGAATGAACCTGGAAACAAAGTTCTCATTATTGCCCACGGGCGGAGGTTGCTGCGACGACGATGCTGGGATTGGGGTGTTGGTCAGGCTGTTGAAGAAGCTGAATTCTGACGGAGCAGGTGGAGCGGTAGTCGCCTGCGTGTTAACGGGCCGCGACTGCTGTTGATCCGAGGGGGAGTCGGCTCCAAATTCTGCGAAAAGATCCGCTGACATTGCTCGTACAAAGGGATGAAAATGTAACGTTGTAGAGCGGCGCTGGCCTGCACGTGCATGTGGTTGGTGAGTACACGCCAGCGCTAAAGTCGAAAGAGTGGGCCGGTCTCGAAGCCAAAGCCACAACAATTGCCAGCTTCTTCACATCTGATACAATACCGGATGAGCTTAATGAAGCATGATGAACTCTTGTTCGGTGTAAAGAATATCGCAGCAATGGACGCTCGCAGTGCTCCTTGGCAACTTTCACGCAAACAAAAGAATCCAAAACCGATCCTCTTTAATGACGAACCGGAAACCCTCAGTTTGTAGCACAAGCATTTTACCAGCATTACAACCGTGAACGTCTTAGAGCTGAGCACCTGAAGTAGTCTGATGTGCACAGTTAGTTGCCTTCCTGGATCCAACACTCTAATTAAAAGAAAACTAAACAGGTATAGAGATCACAAGCTTTACATTGCAGCGTACATTAGCTCTTAACGCGCTTTGTTGTAGTAAGAAGAGATACTCTACTCTAAAGGGATGTTAGTTTCTCTCTTTGATGTAGTGTAAGTACAGCACGACCGACATCACATAAGAGCACGACGCATGGTGAGACATTTGTCGCCATCTTTGATAAGACCTCGACGACCAAAGTACTGCTGGTGATAGGCACACCATACAGAGCGATGTGATAGACAACACGAGGAAGAAGTAGAGACACCATCAACAGTAACCAGTCACGCATGTCAGAAGAGAGGTTTTTGTTCATATCCCACCCATGTTTTCATTCATATCATTATGGAAACTATGGAAGGACGACGCCAGGACCCCAGACCGTTATGCATGACACGTTTCAAAAGTCATCACAGCTTTTCCGAAGCAACCACATCCCCAGAACCAGGTATCTAGAGACGAAAGAAGAGAAACAAGCAACCCAAGAAGAGAGCGCTTATTTCTTGGAAGCCTTTTGGGCGGCCTTGGTGACCTTGCCGGCCTTGTCGGCCTTGGCGACGGACTTGATGACACCGACAGCAACGGTCTGACGCATGTCACGGACAGCGAAACGACCGAGAGGAGGGTAGTCAGTGAAAGCCTCAACGCACATGGGCTTGGAGGGAACCATCTTGACGATGGCGGCGTCACCGGACTTGATGAACTTGGGAGAGTTCTCAACAGACTTTCCGGTACGGCGGTCAATCTTCTCGAGGAGCTCAGAGAACTTGCAAGCAATGTGGGCGGTGTGGCAGTCGAGGACTGGGGCGTAACCAGCACCGACCTGACCAGGGTGGTTGAGGACGATGACCTGGGCGTTGAAGGACTCGGCACCCTTGGGGGGGTCGTTCTTGGAGTCACCGGCAACGTTACCACGACGGATCTCCTTGACGGAGACGTTCTTGACGTTGAAGCCGACGTTGTCACCGGGGACACCCTCGGTGAGCTGCTCGTGGTGCATCTCGACGGACTTGACTTCAGTGGTGACACCAGCGGGGGCGAAGGTGACGACCATACCGGCCTTGATGATACCGGTCTCGACACGACCGACGGGCACCGTGCCAATACCACCAATCTTGTAAACATCCTGGAGGGGAAGACGGAGGGGCTTGTCGGTGGGACGGCTGGGAGGGTCGATGGCGTCGATGGCCTCGAGGAGGGTCTTACCAGTGGCCTTGGCCTTGGTCTCCTTCTCCCAACCCTTGTACCAGGGGCAGTTGGATGAGGCCTCAATCATGTTGTCACCGTTGAAACCGGAGATGGGGACGAAGGGAACGTGCTTGGGGTTGTAGCCGACCTTCTTGATGAAGTTGGAGGTCTCCTTGATGATCTCCTGGTAACGCTCCTCGGACCACTTGGTGGTGTCCATCTTGTTGATGGCAACGATGAGCTGCTTGACACCGAGGGTGTAAGCGAGGAGAGCGTGCTCACGAGTCTGGCCATCCTTGGAGATACCAGCCTCGAACTCACCAGTACCGGCGGCAATGATGAGAATAGCGCAGTCGGCCTGGGAGGTACCAGTGATCATGTTCTTGATGAAATCACGGTGACCGGGGGCGTCAATGACGGTGACATAGTACTGAGTACAACATGTTAGCATTGTAAAGAACTTGATGTAGTAGGCAGAGGGGTACTAACCTTGGGAGTCTCGAACTTCCAGAGAGCAATGTCGATGGTGATACCACGCTCACGCTCGGCCTTCAACTTGTCGAGGACCCATGCGTACTTGAAGGAACCCTTACCGAGTTCGGCGGCTTCCTGTGAGGCTTGTTAGCTCGCTGTGGCCAGAATGGGGAAATTACATGTGCGTCATTGCGTTGGAGTTCGCGAAGGCCGCATGCGGACTAGCGCTAGCGCGTAAAAGTTCGCACATCCCCACCACCCAAAAATGCCCCTCATCGCGATAAGCCAGGCTTTGGCTACGCGCTCAGAGAAAGCACCGGGTGGGCGCAACAGGCCGCGTGAAAGAAAAGTGATGCCATACCTTCTCGAACTTCTCGATGGTACGCTTGTCAATACCACCGCACTTGTAGATCAAGTCTGTATCCCAGTGTAAGTTGTTTGACCCCGCAGTCGTTCGGAGAGGGAGGGCTTACGGCCGGTGGTGGTGGACTTTCCGGAATCGACGTGGCCGATAACGACCACGTTGATGTGCATCTTCTCCTTACTGCAGCCATTGTTAGCGAGGTGTGCCAAGGGTGGTTGTGGCAGCCTCGAGCTCTTCCAGTGGGCAAATGTCGAGGCTCCACTGGTTCGAGGCGGAAGGCAGGCAGAGTCACTTACCCCATGTTGGCGGTGTTGTGTTGTTTGAGGTTATGTGGTGGTGAGGGGAAGTTGTTTGATACTCAGATTTACAGCGCGCGGTGTAAGGTATGAGTTGGACGGAGAAGAAAAGTTGAGTGATGGAGGGGTCGGGTGCTAATATACCTGGAGGGCTGTGGGTCTGTGCTAGTTTTAGGCGCTAGTTCCCCGTTGGGCTACGAAAACTCCTTCACTTGCAACGAATTCAACTGCGAGAGAGGCAAAACGGGTCCCTTTAATTGGCCCACATGCCATGGAGCCCTTCCACCCGCCTTGACCGCCTGCTATAGCCTTGCCACAGCCGCAGTTGCCTCACGCGAGTCTTTGGGACCATCGTCATTGTTTGCCCATCAGCCCTTTTTTCGTACCCGCGTCACCTACGCGCTACAGCTTTTGCTTTTGCACAATGCTCGATTGTTACCTTCACGGCCGATTTGTCTTATCCTGGAGACTGACCCGGCATGCAGTCATCGCGCTGAAACAGTCCCGGCGTCACCTTTGCCGCACTGCAAACTTTTGGCGGGGTACTGAGATTGCCATCATAATCTGTACCCAGCCCCACTGCAAGCGGAGTCTATAGTGGCCTCGTCGATGGTACTATCCAGATCATGCACAACACCGTGTCCATTTCTTACGTTCCGCTGCTAGCCACTGATTCCATCGACCTTACCGTCACCTTGGGCATTGCTGCTTATGGAGCCATAAATGGGCCCTCGTTGACTCATTAAGCGCTGCCACAGACGCCCACCATCTTTCCGCCCAACTATCGTGGGACAATCCTTGGAACCGCTCATATGCCGCCCTTTACCGACGTGGAACCTGGAGTGGCAACCTACATTGACGCTGACTTCACTAAGCATGCACCTCATACAAGGAAAAAACTAGACAGATACAGAAATAATAAGGTACATTTTACAGTCTACATTATCTCTCAATAAGAAAACTTATAAGGATTTACAGCATTGTAGTCTTCTAGGTTTCTTATTTATATCTACATAGATCTAATACGCTTTATTGTACTAGGAAGAAGTACTCTGCCCTAAGAGGTGTTTAGTTTCTTTCCTTAATGTAGTGATAGCGGCTGAAAGAAAAATTGTTCCAGGATGGAGATCTACTCGCTCGAAACCCAACCGTTATCGCCATCGCGACGCAGCGCAAGCTTTCCACTTTCACTCCGGGGAACGCTGGGCTTGCAGAGCTTCATCAAGCTTTTACCACCAAGGCAACACCGTTTCGCCCATCTACACAGGCTATGTGCATCACAAAAATCTGAACCTCTGGAGCAAATCTCACATTCGAGCTTGTCTTCTTCCATCTGTTGCCCTGCCTGATCTACCGCAGTGAAGGTTGTCAGATGCCAACTCGGTAGCGCAGGTATACGGTTCGTTTTGTTTAAGCTAAGGCCTGGGAGCCATCGAAGAGCTAATACTACGATATCCTTCAGGCAGAGACTTGCCTAGCCAACCTCAAGCTGCAATCTTCCGTCAAGCATACAATCTATGTATTACCGATGAATCAACCTAGCCGTATAATGAACCCCTTCGTTGGCTACACGTCGTTCACAGTCATATAAAGGTTGCGAGAGAATTGCTTCTTGGTGAGAGTGATCGAAGAGGCTTGCGGCAACGCCACATTGATGCGCACAAGATATTCGTTGGATTATCAGAAAGATGAAGGCCAGCGCCTGGGCTTGATACCTCACTGCGCAGACGATTATACTTGGCTCCTGGTAACACCACCTCATGAGTTGCTTCCCTTTCTGAGGCTTCAGAGGTACCAGGATGGCTATCAGCATGACGGTCATCATGTATTTTTTGAAAAGGGTGTGTCCGCTTTCAAGGACAAGCGATGGTACTGAGATGTTCGCATCACACGTCTGGTTGCCCTTACGTTCCCTCACGCTAAACAACTTTAGCAATGTATTCTCTCTCTCTGACGAGTTCTCGATAGAAGCATTCAAGTGCTGTCTACATCCTTCTGTTACAGAGAACATGGATTTTGCATTCCATCGTCATCGAGACTTCACTCTCGATCGGAGCTCACCTTTCGCTTTTGTAGAAAAAAAGGCTTTTGAGTCATGCTAAATAGAGTACATTATCATACCCAAATATTCTGTGATTGAGATTGTTCATGCGACTGGAGAACAGTACCGCTTAGCGGCAGTTATCGTAGACTGTTGATGACGACGGTCTTCAGGAGTACAACAATCGGCTAGGTATTGCATGAACCATGCTAGCTTGGCACAAGGGAATGCGAGGATTACATCAGAAAGCCTATACCACTCTTTGAATACCTAAGTAAGTAATTGTACAACTTAAAATGGGTAACAAGCGTCTTCGCACACTGAAAGGTGGTGAGGTCCCGAACTAGGCCGGAAGAGTCTACCAGAAAAAGGAGATGACTACGTTGTAGCTCGACTGCCTTGTTGGGTTGACGGTATATAGTGGTGAGATAATTCGTAGTAGCGAAGGGTGATTGTAAATGTCTGGTCGACTCAATTGTTATACCCTGTCATTCTTAGCGCAGCCTGCCTCGCTTGCATGGTGCGCGGGCATCTAGCCAGAAACCAAACAGCTGCCCCTCCAGAAAACAGCACCGGGTCTCCTGTGCGACTACACTTGCTCTATTTCCTCCGCATACCCACTCGATGACTGCACCTACACACCTCGATCCCAGCGAGCTGGGAACCAAATCCTACTGGGACGCGGCCTATAGCACCGAGCGCCAAAACTTCGCCGCGAACGCAGAGGACGAAGGAACGATATGGTTCAGCGACGCGGGTGCCGAGGAGCGCATGTTATCTTTTCTTGAGGATCTCGGCGATGAAGGCCACGTACACAAAGAAGGCGATGAGGGCGACAAGAAAGCTGCACGATTCTTAGACCTGGGAACAGGGAATGGGCATCTACTGTTTGCGCTGCGGGAAGACGAGTGGAACGGCGAGATGGTGGGGGTTGATTACTCTGCGCAGAGCGTTACGCTTGCGACGTCAATCCGCGATGCGAAAGATGCTTCTTACAAGGACATTGCGTTTCATGAGTGGGATATCCTGTCGCAGCCACCGGGCGCATGGTTGGGCTCTGGCTTCGACGTTGTACTGGACAAAGGAACGTTTGATGCTATATGCTTGTCACAAGAAGAAGACGCTCAAGGTCGCAGGATCTGCGAGGGATACAGGGAAAAGGTCGAGCCCCTCACGAAGAAGGGCGGCCGATTTCTCATAACGAGCTGTAATTGGACAGAAGAGGAGCTCAAGGGCTGGTTTGGAGGAGGAGAGTTTGAGTTTGAGGGAAAAGTCAAGTACCCCAGCTTTACCTTCGGAGGCAAGACAGGCAGCAGTGTTGTTACGCTCTGCTTCAAGAGGACGTGATTCCGCGCTTCTTTGCTGGGAGGAAAGGTTCCTACCGCTACTATTGCTACGGTCGAACAGCCCGCCGTATCCGCGCGAAAACGAGCCACTTCTTCCGCTCGCCCATGTTCTCCAAACCACCATCGCGCTCCTTGGCCCACGACCGCCGCTGTCCGTTCACATCCATCTCGTATATTTCCTCTACCTCGAGCCCTTGCTCCGGCACCACTTCTTCGAAGAAGGGCGCGACTTTGGCGCGGCCCGTGTGAAAGCCTGCGATACAGTATATACGTGCAGATGGTTCGTTGGAGAGGAAATGCAGCATCGATTGGGCGAGGCTTTGGTGCTCCCATGGCATCCAGAGACAATCGGCTGCGAGGATGCGCGTGTAGTGGTGTGCGTGTGAAGTTTCAAAGGGGGTGCTTGTAGAGCCCCATTGATGGCCTTGGACGGTCACATTGGGCTTCAACAGCTCTGGGACGTTCTTGGCGACGTTGGCTTGGAGGGTATCGAGGATGGGAGCGGCCGGGTAGTCGGTGATGGCAATCTATCAAGCTGTTAGTCCAATGATGCGGGTGGTCCGGGTAGGGGCATACCTCTTTCGCGCCTGCCAGTGTACTAAGAATGCCGCCTAGCCCTACGCCTGCGAGCAAGTGTTCCATCAGTACTCTCTTCTTCACCTATCTTTCCGGCCCAACCCACCTGCGCCCAACTCCAAGACCGTCTCGCCCTCCACACTCCACTTCTTCTCCTCTTCTTTGTCTGTCCACCACTCGCCGTCTCTCCAGCCCTCTTCATCTTGGAGCAGACCCTTGCCGCTTGCGCCCAAGTCTCCACCCTCAACCCGCCCACTGACCAGCTCTGCCATCATAACGCCAGCATTCCACAGGTAATGCGCAAACTTTCGTCTCTGCTCCTCGCCATTGACATCGGCCACTCTCAACTCCAGCTCCCCGAACTTGGCGTTGCGATACAAGATGACCGTGTTTGGATCGTCGCCATGCTGGTTTTGCGTGTCGTCGGTGAAGATGCCGCCGAGGGAGGAGCCAAAGATGTCTTCTGGCTCGAGAGGCGTGTTGCTTGGGCGGCGGAGGTTTATCAGCGACGGCAGTAACATTCCGAGGGCGGACGTGAGTGTAGATGGAAGGAATACGGTGGGCGTCGGCTGGGGATTCGTTGAGACAAGCCGAAAGTGATGGATGGCCGCACGACGCAATGATGCGCTATGGAAGGGCTCGCGAAATCTTTAGCGGGGCATGTGTGCTAGGCTGTACGTGGCATGGCTCGCGGGTAGCATGCAGGGACCCAACGCGTCGTCAGACAGGTCGTGAGATCATCATTTGCCGAGGCTGCTGCTGCTCGTGGCGCTCGTTTGAAACTGTGACTTTGCTCCTCCCTTCTATTGTCAGCTTGCTTCTGGTCGATACCATACTGCCAGCTCCCGACAACAAGACTGACCACAACACGTAACCGCTACCATGTCATTCTCGTCGTTCAAGAATCCGGCGACGTACCATTTGCTCAGGTATAACAACTGCACCTTGCAAGCTCAAAACCAGGCACGTCTGATAACAGAGCTACAGCTATGGCACCCTCCTCGGCTCAACCCTCTTCCAGTCCTTCGTCTCAGGCATCGTAGCCTTCCGCGTCCTCCCGCGTCCCCAATTCTCCACACTTCAGAAGCACACTTTCCCTGTATACTTTACGCTCCAAACTCTTACTCCCGTTGTAATGCTGCTCACCTATCCGCGTGGTGGTGCACCCTCCCTGCTTCCATTCCTCTCTTCGTCTCCCATGCCACCGACTGCAACCGACAATCTGAGTTCCTGGCTACATACTACCATGTTCCTCACGGCGCTGGTGAACTGGGTGTACATTGGGCCCAAGACGACCGAGGTCATGGGTCTGAGGAAACATCAGGAGACCAGGGATGGGAAGAAGAGCTATGATGCCGGGCCACACAGCAAGGAGATGCAGGCCTTGAACAAGCAGTTTGGCATCTTGCACGGCGTCAGCAGTTTGGTCAACATGGTGGGCTTGGGGGCTATGATCTGGTATGGTGCGGTACTAGCTGAGGGACTGAGTTTGTAAGGTATGAACAAGGTGTGAAGAGCATGTATGTATTGGGCGAAAGAACTTCGTCGAGTGCGAAAGCGCCATGGCCGACAAGCACGTTTGGCCGTCTTGTTGTACATTCAATATTGAACACACAGCATGTTCACTGTATCCTGCTACAAACGCCTATGCCTTGACAGTAGCTAGTCGATTTCTCTTCTTTGTACTTGCGCAACTCCATGTTCTGACCTGACCCGACATACTGTATCATGGCAATTACACTACAAGAACGTCAATCATCCAAGTCGTCGAATGCTCACACTAAAGGTTACTCGAGGACGCAACGAAACGCGACAAATGATGATAGGGGAGTGCAGTATCGACAGCTTGTCTCTCGCGCTGTAACACAGCGTTTGCATTCGCCATCTCTTGACGACCTTACGAAGACAGATGTGGCTAACAAACTTGCGCATCCGTTGAAGACATGGGAGACACAAGAGCGCTCCATTGCACGAGACAAGGCTCGAATCGAGGCCAAAATGCTGGATATACCATGGAGTAAGACCACTTTTCCTCTTACATGTATTCCTACACTTCACACCGATTCCGACATGCAGATAGAGCTGACAGATGATAGCAAAGTTTATCCGCGATGTAGAGAGCGCTACCCTTGAAGTCCATGTCCTCACGCCAACACGATACGAAGCACCCTGCGGGGACAGGATCAAGAACCAAGAAGCGAGCACGAGAAACGAAGGAGTTTTATACAAATTCGGCGCTTTGAAGGATATGGATGAGGACAAAGAGTGGAAGAAAAAAGACGCGGCTATTTACAACGTGCTCAAAGCTTTTCAGGGAGGACGGTGTCGCGACTGAGGGCTTCCGATCCTAGCATCCGTCGGTAATTGTTGGTGTTAGTGGAGTGTATCGACGATATAGACTATGCCAGAATCCTTCAAGTGTAGATCGAATCCGAAAATTGGTTTCATCTCACCCGAAGTCCTGGATCGAACTTACTGTATGGACATAGCTGGCTACCTGCATCAAGTGACATGAGCAAGCCAGTCATCTAATTTACTCCAGTCGATGGGGTCCAATGCCATATCGTCGACGATATAGTCCGCAGCTAAGAAGGTGTCCAACCCATCCATCTCCATGATATCAAAACCTGAACCGTCAAAGTCGTTGGAGAACGTGGAAGGATTGGTACCATCAAAGACAGTATGAGGATGACCAGATGGCGTTTGGATTGGATTGGGTGTCGAATCCAGTAAGAGATCAGAGTCATCAACTGGGATACTGCCGCCAAGCTGACGCGTATTACTTTTGACTGTATCAGTAGAGGTAGCAACATGACTGCTATTCGCATCGCGTTTCTGCCGTCTCAGTCTTGCACAATCGCGTTGGTGACGTAGACGTGCTATAAAACTGGGTACCGACGATATGACTACATCTCTTGAACGAAGTAGCGCCTCCCGATCGCCATATGCCTTCAAGCATAGATGGCCCACAGCAGCATGAACGGGTTTTCTCATGTCCTCAATCATATCTGGATTGTTGTCGTAGGTTTCACCGATGAGTCTCCAAGCCCGTTCAACATCAAAAACCTCAGGATCGGCCCGGAGAACGTCCAATACGTGAATGAAAGCGTGCCATTGCCGATACCAGGGCGTGTTCCATGCAAACCGTTGGGTAAAGGGGTTAGTCTGTAACATCACTTGTTGTTCGAGAAGTTTAAGACAAACTTCCCATATCTTCTGGCGTTCCTCAAGCGGTGTTTGCTCGATACTACCCCAGCTCCGTGGATGATACATCAAGAACCGGGCTACGTTCAGGCCATATCGAGCAACTAGCATCGTGACAAGGTCCAAAGGCTGAGAGGGATCACAGTAACGAAGATGTTTCGTTTCGATAGCCTCTTGGAGCTCTTGAATCTTACTCTCGCGGTCCTTTTTGTCTTTTCCCGAATGGTCAAGGTTCATCTGGCTAAGGTCTTTTCCTTCTTGTCGAAGGGCTGCGATACGTGCGGCAGCGAACTTTCCCATCTCACACCTTGTCACGATGAAAACAGCGTCCGTCAGTCGATCCGATTGTAGGGGTAGTTCAGTCATACTGGGATACAACTGATCATCGTTGACATTGAGAGGCCACTCAGCTCGGTGGGGACCGACATCAGGATCTCGGTATTTCGAAAGGCCACACAACTCCGTAGCCCGAGAATCATGAGTCTTCAACTGATACCATATACGCCGGCGAATCTCGGTTTCGAAGGGAGATAGTCCTAGATACTTTCCGTCGCGCTCTAGACCCATGCCTTGAGCGATGCGAACAGCTGCACCAGTAAGGGTCCAGTTGGCGCGTGGTGTGTAGATGTCGCGGGTTGTAATGAGATGTATGACTAAAGCCTGGAGAACACCTATACTGGTAGTCTCCATCACCTTTGCTCGCGATAATGCCGTTTCTGTCGCGGAGATGTATTGAGAAAGCAGACGCTCACGGGGCTCAGTGAACCGTTGCTCGCATTCGTTTCGGCTTAACGACATGACAGCGGAGCCATATATAGCAAACATGAGTGCTTCGAGTGCCCGTGGTATGACCCCAGAGCTATCCGCAGCTTTCTCAATCATTGGCCTCAGACTAGGGACATGCACCACTTTCGTCAGTGGATCGACGTTGCTGACAAATGTCTCCCAAAGTTGATGTATGCGGTCTATCGAGGGATGGCGAGGCCTACCGCCGGTATGAGTATGTCTGAGGAGAGCAAATCCTGAGTTATCGGATATCGCTTCTTCTTCACTAATATCACTCGAGTCTTCCAAATCGTTCTCCGGATCAAGAGACTAAGCACCGGTTACTATCTAGAGGGCAAAATAGGAACTGGAAGAGTTTTTGTAGGGTCTTGTCACACACCTCTTCGACCACTCTATTCCATAGAGTGTTTTCGACAAACTTGAAAGATGTCTGTCCTTGAACATTCGGCGTTTGGATAGCGTATGGAGACGGTCCGGACTCGAGAGATGAAGGCGTTCTCAGTTGACTGACATGCTGCTGTTGTTGATCAGGCACAGTGTGTGTCATAGGCTGTGATCCATTGTTTGTCCAATCTGGAAGCCTTCCGACGTCGATCCCTTGCTCTTGAAGAAGGGCTTCATACTGTCGCAGTCGGTCAGTCAGTACATTAACCTTGACGCGCTTCTTCTTCTTCTTCGGCGGTTGCACTGGATTGAAGATGCAGTCAACGCTATGCTTGATGCAAGCACTACATGGTTTCTGTCGGTCGCATTTGACTACAGAAGTGTACACAAGTCAGCGCGTATGCCATACACGGCATGCACGACAACATGACTTGCCTTTTCGTTCAGCACATCGTATGCATGAGAAGGTTGGTCTTTTGTGTGTGCCTGAGGAAGGCATTGTGGTTGCCATTGATAGATTTGGCTTCTTAAAGTAGCATTGGCGGCAGGAGTTGGCACTTGAAACTGTCGCAACCCACTGAATCGAAGTACGGGCAACAGGAAGAAGGTTGCTGGAGTTTGCGTAGGGGCTATGTTAGAAGATGGTAGATACGCGGCGCCTCACCGGGAATAGTGCCCTGGCCCCACAAAATCCCACGCTCAACGCCCGAGCCGTCGCCCGAATGCACGAAACCCGAAGCACGCCAACTCCGAATCCTCATCAGCTTTCTTCTTGTATGCCCGAGACCACGCATCCGGTCACAAGAGAAAACAAAATGTCGTATATAAAACATCATTCGGTCTGGTCATCATGGCAGAACATTACTCACCAAACCGTCGTTCACATCTACCACACCTCTCCTCGGCCAGACAACCACCCCAACCATGCACATCCTGATTGTAGGCTCAGGCATTGCCGGACCGACCCTGGCTTACTGGATCTCCCATAATCTGGAAAACTCCATCACTGTCCTTGAGAAATCTCCCTCGCTTTTGCTGTATGGGCAAAATGTCGACATTTCAGGCAGCGCGGTAACATGCATAAAAAAGATGGGTCTGATGCCGCAAGTTAAGCATTGCAACACCAAAGAGCTTGGCACTCGGTTTATCGACTCATACGGAAAGCCATTTGCACCTTTCCCAATCAAAGAAGGAAGCTCAGCAAGTCTAACATCGGAGTACGAAATCCTGCGAGGCGATCTAGCAAAGATCTTGTACAACGCAACACAGTCCCATTCCAATGTGACCTATCTCTTCAATACCACAATCACGGAAATCCTCCAGAATGATTCTTTGAGCGTAAAAGTACTCCTCAGCGACAACACAGTACGCACGTACGATCTTCTAGTGGCAGCAGATGGCCAGTGGTCTAAGACACGCAGTCTGATCTTCCCGTCCCAACAAGTCACAATTAGCCATCAGGGCATGTACTCTGTGTATTTTACCGTACCACGACGCGCAACCGATACGGCATGGTGGAACATTTTCGTCGCACAGGGCTCACGTACTATTTCCACACGTCCTGACCCTCATGGTACACTTCGTGCGTTGTTCACATTCATGCCAACTACCTCCGCCCAAGAAGCCCAGTGGGCCGAAGCAAGTAGGATGGGAAGAAAGTTACAACAAGAACTTCTTCGCAAAGAGTTTGCAGACGCGGGTTGGATTTGCGACAGACTTCTTGGTGACGTGGCCGCAGCACCAGACTTCTACTTCCATGCCATCAACCAAGTCAAGATGCAACGGTGGAGTCACAATCGTGTGATCTGTTTGGGAGATGCGGCATTTTGTCCCAGTCCGTTGACAGGCATGGGGACGTCGCTCGCAGTTCTAGGAGCGTATATTCTGGCGGGAGAATTGAGCTGCATGACTACTTTCTCTTCTTCTGTTTCGACTTCACTTTCAATGGATGCTCTTGCGACTGCGCTTGCGAGTTACGAAGCGAAATTTCGACCGTATGTTGAGCAGAGTCAAGAAATTCCACCTTTTGTACCGGGGTTCATGCATCCAGATTCGGCGTGGAAGAGAACGATATTGCATGGATTCTTGACAATGGTGTCCAGGGTAGTAAGGTGGGAATGGGTCGGCCGATGGTTGGGGGACGCAGAGAGTAGGGATGATGGGTTCAAGTTACCAGAGTATGTGGCGTTTGAAAGCAAAGACAAGAAGTAACACAATGCGGATGGAAAGGAGGAGATGGGGTAACGTAGTTGTACTTCAGGTAAACAAACATGGGTATCTTGATTATTACAACCTATACCGTAAAACTAGTCAATCGAATGGGAAAAGAGACAAAGAATAAGTCAATAGCACTCCATGACTGAGACCAACAACGCCACGCTATGTACGGTGCGATGCAAAACCTTCGTATCTCATATACCAGCCACTCTGGGTGGCTCATCGCCCAGGTTCAATACCTCAGTCTTCTGCCTCACAGCGGCCCAGTCGGTGGGATCAATACCAACCCTGGTTTCCTCGGACCCATCTGCGGAAGGACGTTCTGGAGCATCCAATGCGTCCTTCGAATCTGCAGATACCAGATCTTTAGCCTCATTAACTGGGCTAACAAGCTCAGGTTCTGACTTGTTCTTTACAGCGTCATTCAGACGGGTCGCGCTAAGCGGATTCGAATTATCCTCCTGTAGCGCAGCATCACCAGCCACTTGGCGTTTAGGTGGAAGCTGGAGTTCCTTTCTTTCGACATGCTCACCATGCTCCAACGAAGTAGTAGGAGCAGTACTCATCCTATGCATACCCCCACCTCTCGCGTTTCCGTCTACACTTCTCCGTGCGTTTCCAGGATCCGCGACCTTGGCCTGGTCCTCTGGACAGACTCTGCCTGGCTTGTCGTTGGGTGTATGAGTGTTTGGTCTTCCTTTGGAGTACGACCGCCTCCCGTCTTTCTTTGCAACTTCTGTGCTCTTGCGCCCGACTCTTTGACCTTCTTTATGGTCACCTCGGCCTGTGAGTGACCCAATGATGCCGTTCTTGTGCTGCTTCTTTTCTTCAGCAATCGTCTTCTGTAGAGCCTTCCAACGGATGGTGACATTCTCCTCTACAGATTCCTTCTTCTCAGAGGTTCGCTTGGCTCCTTGTTGAGCTTCTTGAATGGCCGAAACCTGAGATTTCGATTCCAGCATCGACAGCTCTTTTTGTCCTTCAGCAATGCGGGCACGGCGTAGATAATTAGTAGGTTGGTATCGTTTCATGTATTCTGCGTCAAGCCCCTTCATCGTGTATGCCAAAGGGCCAAGAAGGGCTGCGATATCCTTGAGTACGAAGCCGCCAATGCCAAAGCCCACGCCTCGCACCGCGCCCATGACACCGTTCTTCTTCGCGCCATTGTAGGGCTGGGTGACAAGACCCGAAACGCCATCCATGACGCCATAAACAAGCTCGTCGCGACCAGCACGAGTGCCAGAGTGGAAACCCGTCACTCGAGGTGGACGGCGCACCGTTTCATCTCCGTACAGACGCGGAGCGTTGTGGAAGCCCTGTGTGATAGCAAGTGTCAAGTCCATAGGAAATCTGGCAATAGCGTGTCCGGTCTTCCTGAAGCCAAATGCAGCTTCGCGGCTAAGCTCTTCAGCCAATTCTTCGTCTGGTTCCGTGATTTTGGAAAGCGTTGATTCGTTGCGATTTGCTTGTGGCCGACCTGCATCTTGGCTGTCCTGCTTCTGTTCCGTGCTTTGAGCTCCATCTGGCGTGTTTGCATTTGCCTTTACTAATGCGGCCTTTTTCTGCTCGTGACGCTGTTGATGTCTGCGCTTCTTCTCCCTTAGCTTCTCCCGTTTCCTGATACTCTTCCCCATCTCTACAGGCATACCGCCTACACCTGCTGCAGCATCAGAAAACGATGTCATCAAGCTGCCCCAGACGCCCGTGATAGGCTCTCCCGGTCCGCCAAAGTCATTCCATTCGTAGTGTCGAACAAGTCGCAGGTCGCTCCATTTGAGCTTCCTCTTCTCGACAAGTATTTCAGCTGCGAGCGCGGAAAGCTTGATGTCCGTGTTCTTGATCTTCCACACCGCAGCACGGTTATCGAGGAAGTCGCAACGCATGCTGCCCTCTCCATGTAGAGGCAGTGATCTGTGAAAGGAGCGTACAGCATTAAGCGCACCATCACCTTCCTTCTCGATGCTTTCGGCGATCTTCTTCACATTCTCTTTAGCTTCATCAGTGAGACATTGCTTGATGCCCTCTGCTAGCCGTTCAGCGCTAAGCTTTTTGTATGGTATACAATCGTGAGCTCCGGCCTTTGCCTTGCTGACCATCGCACCCCAGAACGGTTGGTCACCAAAGAAGGGCACAATCATTGTCGGTATAGCGCACTTGAGACCGATAGCGGTTGTTCCAGCACCTCCGTGATGCACCACAGCAGCGCACTTCGGGAAAAGCCAATCGTGAGGTGTGTTCTCCAGCATGAAGACATTCTCCGGACAATCAACATTGGAGCCAAACCCACCCCAGCCCTTTGAAACAAGAGCACGGCAGCCGACAGATTTCACAGCGTCAAAGATGAGCTTTGTGAATTGATCTGGATCGTCTACGACGATGGAGCCGAATCCGATATAGACTGGAGGAGGTCCGTCGTCCAAAAACTTCTTTAGCTCATCTGGTGGCGTGAATGACGAAGCTAGATCAAGGAAAACAAAACCGGAGATGTCAATTTCTGGACCCCAGTCCTTGGGCTTTGGGATGAGACCCGGTGACCACATATATGTGTAGGGTACTTTGAGCCGATAGAGTTGACCTGGCGCCCATATCCTGCTGACTTCCTCGAGATGCAAGACCTGGGTACGAAACCGGTTGATGAGATCACCAAGCCCTTGCCACATCATCATCTCGACGAGTGGATATGACATGAAATTGCTGTAGGTCGCTTCGACATTACTGGCCTTGATGTTTGCAAGTGGATGAGGGAACTGGCTCGTGGGTGTGTAAGGGAAGCTTTGGTAATTTAGTACTGGATTGAGACTTCAAGTGACAACAACTTACGTGAACATCATGTGTAGCGGTATACCCAACTTCTCGGCAATGTGAGTTGGAGCGAAACTTGGCGGATTTGAAATGATAGCATCCGCGACGAAGGGTGCCTTGTCGCCCACTGTTGCATGTTAGCTAGAATACGGCGCAAGCTGATCTGAACGACTTACTCATCTTGGCGTTCGTTTTATCGGTCTCATCGTCGGTCGCATTGATGCAAGCACGCCACATGCCTTGGAACATCTCGTACATTTGGCTCCTCCGTCGGCCAATCTCACCCTCCTTGATTGTTTCGATATTCGGAATCAGACCAGGGTTTTTAACCATGAAGGCCATCAGCTCGGCTGGATTACCACCGACGGAGAAGAATTCCAAGCCCGAATCCTTCTCCACGAAGTCTTTGAACGCTGGGTGTGTAGCCAGACGAACGCGGTGCCCATAATCTTCCTTTAGAATCTTGCCTATGCGAATGAAAGGCTGGATGTC